TGCCATCATGACTTGAGAAATCGGGTCGTGACAGTATGAGTTTTTTTTTATCTAAATTTTGAATTAATATTTTTAATTTTAAGATCTACATCGGATGATACATTTAAATTTCTAATATGTTTGATACAATATTATATTTAGAAGTTGTATGATGGTGCTTTTGGTTTGTTGTAATTTTTTTGTTGATTATATGATACATGAAAGAAGCGCACACAATTGAGTTGCATCTATAATGTATCTGATACATTTTGTAACTTTGATCTGTGCGTAATGTATGAAACAAATTAGGAATTTAAATGTATGGTGATATTATTAGTTATGGTAGTTAATATTGTTGATACATTAATGTCATATAAAATGTAACTGCTATATGTATTAATATGATGAAAAAAAATGTACAACTATATCTAGGTGTGCTTTTCGGATGAATGTGGTTGGACTATGAAGGCTTCATGCAGGAAAAATATTGTTGTTTTCAAAGTGAGATACTTTAATAGTGAACAAGCATGTCCAGTGCGGGATAAGATACTAACCAAAATCCAAGCAACAGTTGGGTTTGTTAGCGGTGCGACTGCTCCTAAATTGGCAATCATAAACGAATTCATTCTCGAAAAGATATAATTGATGATATTAGAGAATTCTTTGGGGTTCAAATATCTTACCAGCAAGCATGGTGTGCTAAAGAACGTGCACTAGAAATGATAAGGGGTAAACCATCAGATGGATATAAGAAGTTGCCGAGATACCTATACATGTTGAATACTGTGTATCCAAATTCTTATATAAGGATGCACAAGTCAGTGGAAGATGAATTCATGTATCTGTTGATACGCTCAAATTACACCTCCCTAAAGAAGCATAAGCGATCGTTATCAAATAAAGAACCCAACTTGTAGGTTGGGGTCGATCCCACGAGGGAAATGGTCTAGACTTAACTTTAACCAACAATTATATTCGTTTAGTCAAATTATTTCTAGAAACAAGTATTTAAAGGGGGGGATTTGTGAGACAAATTGTAAGATTTCAGTAAGTAATCAGTAAACAGAAGTCAATTTTGGTTGTTATCAAGATGAGAAAATTAACTAGGGTATACGTGTTCCCCGCAAGCTCATAATGCAGTAATCCTAGTAATATCAATCCTTTCCTAGTGTACTACATGCAAAGTGATAAGTTAGGTATCTCTAAATCCTTGGTCCGACATATAGAAAATTTTACCCCGCACCTTGGTCCGGCTACGTGTGTATAATTTACTAACACTACAAGAAAAACAATCTCTAACGAAGGGAAAAATGGTCCCTAAATGTTCAAATCTGGTCCTAAATGCTCAATTGCGATGGGAAATGGCTGGTCGCCACCCGTCCTAATAGACGTCTTCGCTAAAGGTCAACTGGGACAAGTTTCTTTAACTGGTCCCTAAATGTCTTTTGGGATGGGGGCAAACATTGGTCGTTATATGCTTTTAAGGACCATATTTCTGGTCTCAAATAGACAGTTTATACCATGTAAAAGTATTACTTTTTGGTTCTTGTACTCTTTGGCGACGGGACTAGTCTGGTCTTAGATATATTTTAGAGACGAGCAATATTTGTAGTCGTAGATACTTCTTTAGAGACAAACAAAATTTCTGGTCCTAGATTAACCTTTATAGACAAGCAACAATTTCAGTCTCTAATGTACCACCAATGGTTTAAAGCTCAATATGACAAAAAAATTAAATTCATCAATCAATATAAAATTGCTACTGAAAATCTCAATACCAAAAGATAATAATATATAGAGAGGAAGAGACAGAGATATTTATTGCAATAAATTAGTTAGCATCCCAGATGTTCATTTCAATATTTTCTTAACTCAAAAATATAGCTAGCATCTCAGTTAGGCTATACTATTAAATATTCCATAACACTCATTGCAAAATAATAATGAGTTTGTGTATCTTCACTTGTTACTTCAATCTTCAAATCTGCAAGTACAAAATTTTGAGAAGACGATAATTAATTATTGGTATAGTAATATACAACAAACATCTTGGCTAATGAAAAAGATCCTTAAGGGTGCAAAGTATATGAAACATATAGAGCTAGAAGAAAATGATATTACGCAAATGTATAGTTCCTCTACAGATAAGAGGTGTCTACCCCAAACGCTCTTGGAGAAGGCTAGTGTAAAAATTATGATGGTCCGAGATGGATATAATTTTATTCTTGGCCCTACATGGTAGATTACTTTCTAAAGATAAAATTTCAAAGTGGACTGATGTAAAAGATATGACATGCTTGCAATGTTCAAACCATCCATGAACACTTTATCACCTACTGTTTCATTGAGAACACTCTACTATTATCTGGGGGAAATACTCAACTGGCAAGGATTATACAGTGTTGTACCATGATGAAATGAGGAAATCCAAAGGGTTGTGGTAAATGCAAGAGGTCATTCAGCTGTTGCAAATATATATATATATAGAGAGAGAGAATGTATTTAGCTGTTGGAGTATATTACATTTGATTAGAGAAAAATATGAGGCTATTTCAAAAGAAAGCAAGAACTAACTAAGAGTTGAATCAAATTCACAACACAAAGTTTTTTCCGGAGGTAATTCTAGAACAAATCATCTGGGAAAATACAACACCTTTTAGAGAAATTTGAGTGAAGATTGAAGCTTTTATCTACTAGCTCTATATATTTAATCTTCTTGTCATGTATGAGCTATTATGCAAAAATGTCTACATGTTTTTGAGACAGTTTGCCCAATCTTACAACAACCCTGTTCTTAATCTGATTTCCCCAGTGAGTAAATAAAATTATTTGCTCACACAATAAAATAAGTTAAACCGCTCACCTCAAATGCAGTATGAATTTCATCAAGTGTTATCGAAAAACATGAACAAAACTGCAAGAATATAAGAAAAATAATTAGAAAAGCTTTGAGTTTCATTAAAAAGTAGTCAAAATGTATTTTGAAGAATCACAACTATACAGAATCGTCCAGATAAGAGAAATAAATGGACTAAAGACAGAAAAGAAAAAATAGAGAAATTGCGCAGTTATGCAGAAAATAAAAATGGGGGAAGAAGAAGTTGAAAAAAAAGAGAAGTTTTTGTATCGAGTCCCCTCCAATTCGAGGAAAAGGGGTACTGCTGATGTAACTAATAATCTAATTGCATCTATAAAAATCCTCTCAAAACAAGGTACGTAAAGAAAAAATCTTCAACATAGAGATCTCTCCTTTATAAGTCGTCAAATTCTTACTCATGAAACATTTTGAAAAACAAAGATGTTTGGACCTAGCTTTCAATAGTTATGTTTAACTCTCTAATAGATTGCAATAATTCTACTATTAGTGGGATAATTTAACAATGAAAAATGAAGAACAGAACAACCCTCAAAGGAAGACAATCAAGCCAAGTAGTTCACAATGTCGGGAAAGTGGAAAAAGTTGTGCAACTGTTACATCAAACACTCTTAATTCAAGAAACCGTTAGTAAACTCTATCTCCATGAAATACAGATCAACTAAATAATATCCAACACCTATAGTATTATGGTGTTTTAAAGAAAAGTATATATTTTCCCAATACGCAAAGTCTTCTATACACCAATGCATACATACTCTTCAATTGTATTAATTTATTTTTTATCAGGCTCTTCAATTCTAGTGTTAATACTCAAGATATAACCATCCACATTAGTCGAAGTGCTTCATATTTTAATCATGCACATAATACAATGTTTTTTTTGAAACTGTGAACAATAATTTTAAAAATTACATGCATCACAGATTGATCGGAACAAAATTTAACATAGCATTTCATAATGAAACAAAAATATTTCATTGAGTTGTGATTTCAAATAAAGAAGAATCAAGTATTGAAATAATTCAACAGAAGAACAAGTGTAACAGTACTAGGAAAAACCAGTTTTGAAAAATTCATAAAATCTTCTCAATAGAGAATTTATTCTGCTCGAGAGTCTAGTGTTGTTTAATGGAACCAATAGTGTTACATGTCACCTTTATAATCCTTGATTTAGAGTGTTCTTCAAACATTTGGATCAGTATACTTGGATGGTAATTCAGAGGCAAACACGACGTTGAAATGAAGAATGTTAATTGCACAGTGACACATCTCAAAGATAAGAATGGTTAAGCAAAAGTGTTTCACATGGCTACAAAAGTAGACTTGTATTACATAAGCAAACGAGGAACTATAAAGTAATCAGGCAAGAGGAGAAAAGAAACAGCACTATAATCAGACATATAATTTAAGGCATCCATTTTAGAGTAGTAAAATGGCCACATGTAGCTTGTGTCCAAGAATAATTCAAATTTCTACAGAGCTCACAAATTAATAACATCAAATCAAACGCTCTCCAGATACTTTCAAATAGATAATTCCAGTTATGTATTCATAAGATACCTATAGGCTTAATGATCTCAAGTCATTGTGTTGTGGGGATTAGCCTGACGAATTAATAAATGGTCGTTTAGGGTGAGGCGTCAATAAAATTTGTTTAGTCACTAAGAGTCATACACTTTATCCATTTTGATTAATCTGAAAATTCGTTGTCCCTTTTGAAATGTTATCTTCAAAATGTGGCCCTCTTCACTCCAGAATCATGTAAAGAACATTTAGCACCTAGACCTATTCAAATGATTTTACAGTAATTTTTCAAACCCCCATACAACTTCAAATTAACCCATATAACCATGTAAAGGACATGGTTCAACCCCATATAAACATAAATCTTTAATAAAGAAGTTGGAAAAAACTGCAATAGAACAGAGCACCACACAAACACAATAGAATAGAATAGACTTAGAAAGTGATGGAACTAAAGTTTTGTGAAGATTAAAATAAATACGTATTTACATAAAAACAACTAGTATTTTGTCCACAATACAAGTAAAAGGCTGATTTTTTTAACAGATCTGGGCGCTTACTAGCTTGGTCTTATCTTTATTGCAAAACTACAGTTACAAAAAAGTAATTTTTGGCTTCAAAGCCCCACAATTCTTTGTACCATGGATGTACACATAAATAAGAAATCATATAAATGAAACCTGAAACACCATTAGTTTAGAGAAAACCTAACAAAAAACGTCATTAGTTTAGGGCAGAGCAAATAAAACAAGCAAAAATTACATTAATACAACTTATGGAAGAAAAAAAAGTAACTAGATCGGAAAAGAGGCATACCTAAAATTCTGTCTCGAGCAAAGCTAAGATGACATAAGGAAGAATATACCTTCCTTGAGTTTAGCGCAGAGCTACAATGAAATACTACCTTCACTGAGATTAGGGCAGAGCTGTGATGGAAAAAAAAGAGCGATTTGAAGAGAGACATCGAGATTAGGGCATCACCTTAAGACCATTGTTTTAAGAAAATAGAGTTCTTTTTAAATTTTACTTTGATAATATAATTTGTTTTGGCGCTTTAGTATTTGTTAAAAGAAAAGTTTTAATTTTTAAAAATAATGTAATATTAAATTTTTTGCACTTCCTAGCGATCCTTCCTGGCAAGTCCTCCAATTATATAATTTGGGACCAGTTACTAAATATTTTAGGGACCATATTTAGCACCTTCACAATAAAGTACACTAATAAGGACTGGAATATAATCTCGTCCTTATACATATACATTTAGAGACGAGATTATTAGCTTGTCTCTAAATGTTGGTCTTAAATAAGGCTTTTTCTTGTAGTGTAACCCTTACATTTACCTCATATTAGACATCACATCAATGTTTGTCTTCGTTATTACTTCGCACCAATCGACACTAGAGTATTAGATAGTATCACACTAAATCTATGTTGATATTTTTTTCTTGTTGATTACCTCCTTGGTCCGGCAAGTAGCAACAAGGCGAGTTCTAACGTTGCACACCGTTAAAAGACTTTTAAACGAAAGAATTATCAATGCATGCAAAACACTATTCAAGAATTGCTTATTTACTATTCATACTTTGTTAATAGCTCATGGTTCCCACAACCCTAGTTGTGGAGTTTAGTTACCCATAATCATATGAACACAATTCATTGTTTTAGATGAAAGAATTATGAACTTACGTAAGAAGAATAATAAACCCAGAAATTCAACTTGAATTGCAACACCAAAATCTTCAATACGAACTTAGAAAATTAAGAATTGCTAAAGTTGCAAGTCAATCTCCCAAGTCAAGAACTAGAATAAAAGTAATAAAGTCTAACCCCCAAAAACGAGGTTTACATGCCCTATTTATAGAAAACAAGTCCTAAATTAAAAAGGAAACATAATAAGGAAAGTTTGTTCAGGCACGCGTCTTCATTCCACGAGACTGACTCACGGACCGTCAATGGATCTACGGTCTGTGAGTCCCTTTCGTCAGCCAGGACATAGAAAATACTTCAGCATCCAAAAAATAGATTCTCTGAAGCAAACGACAGAACCTCAGTACGGACTTTAGATCGATCTACGGTCCGTCGATCCCTTTCTGTAGCTCCACACTTAGAATCTTCAAAAATCAGGTACTGGAACCCATGTAGTATCATTCTACGGATCAGTAGTACGGTCCGTAGATCAATCTACGAATCGTCACTGGCCACCGTGGTTCCACACTTGGTCATATTTCCCTAATTTGCCTTCCATGCCTTGCCTACTGATCTACGATCACCATCTACGGAACATCAATGGACCTTCAGTCCGTAGATCACCTCTGTAAATGCCCATTTCTACATTTCTTTCAGCTATCTCTTTACTTCCGCGCCTAAACATCCTTCCTACAAAACATGATAAAAACACATAAAACCCAATACAAAAAGGCCCTAGACACACACAACTCTTAAGTGAAATGTATTAAAAATACCGTAAACTGACGGTATATCATCTGTTCATAGCCTTAAGACCATTGATGAGGGGATTCAATTACTGCAGACCGGTAGTTGTTATCGATGGTGCACATCTTCGTGGAGCTTACATAGGTACATTAAGCACACTTGATGGGGCAGGTATGTATTTTTTGTAATTGTGATCTTGTTTAGTATGTAGCTAAATTGTAAATGTTATGTATCAAATGAAATCATGTGTGTTGATCTGTTATTAGGTTGCATATTTCCATTGGCATATGGGGTTGTAGACACTGGAAATGACTGTTCGTGGATATGGTTCTTCGAACAATTCAAAAATGCATTTGGCGAGCGTGAAAAAATGTGTGTTGTTTCTGATAGAAATGAGAGTATTATGAAGATTGTAAGAATTGTGTTCGAAATTGTACCTCATTATGCATGCATATGGCATCTTTGGAAGAATGTATGTGGAAACTTCAAAAGGAGCAGAAACACCATAAGTGATCTATTCTACTCTATGGCCAAGGAATATAGAAAGGAGGATTTCGATACATTAATGGCTAAAGTGGATAAAGTTGACGACACGGTAAAGGAGTACCTTGAGGATGATGGGTATGAGAAGTGGTCGAGAGTTCATTCAACAGTAAATAGAGATAGAATGATGACTTCGAACATAGAGGAATGTATCAATGGTTGTCTTGTTGAGGCGCGTCAGTTGTCTATATTAGAATTTTTGGAAGAAGTTAGAATTATATTTGGTTCTTGGCATTGCTAAAATAGAGAAATTGCCTCTTATACAAAAGACACATTTGGGAAAAAATTGAGGAGATATTGATTCTAAACGCTTCTAAATATTCGAAGATGAAGGTATGTATGATGATATATAATTTTATATTTTGTATCTAATTTGGCATATCATTTGGCTATTTTGATCAACATTACTTGAAATAAATTTATCGATTACTTTTTAATGTTTGCAAGTTGTTCCATCATCTGAATTTATTTTCCCGGTTTATGAAGCTGGAAAAAGATACATTGTTTGTCTTGAGAGGAAAGAATGTACTTGTGGTAGATTTCAACTAGATGAGATACCTTGCACACATGCAATTGCTATTTTAAAGGACAAGAAGGTCACATATATGCATCATTATTGCTCTGATTACTACAAGCCTGATACATTAGCAAAAACATATGAGGTTCCAATGTCAGATAAGGAAGAGTGGTTGGTTCCTAGAAATGTTTTAGATGAAACTGTGTGGCCACCTAGATATAAAAGATTGGCTGGATAACCAAGGAAAAGAAGAAAAAAAACTGCAGATGAAAAGATAACAGTAAAGATAAACTGTTGTGGACGTTGTGGTCAAGAAGGTCCCAACAAAAGAACTTGTACTTTCTTCCCAAAAGAAAAGCGAACTCATTATTTTTATAAGACATTTATGTTTTTGTTGAATAATTTTTTACTTAATTGATTATCACTTTTATATTTATCATGAATAAAGGTTATTGTTTATTTTGGTTATTTTGATTCAATATTCATGAGTTTTGCGGATCCATTTAAGAATTTATTATGATTTGTGTGTTGGATGTTATTTTGGTACGTTTGTTTATGACTTTTGTTGTTCAATTCAATAAATTGTTATGATATGTGTGTAAATGTTATCTTCGATATACAAATATTTATGTGCATTTGTATCATATACACTATGTGTAAAATACACTATGTGTACTGTATCATTTACATATATAATATTTAATGTATCATATTCATTAAATATAAATAACATATCTAGTTTAAATAAGCTATTGTATCTGAGAAATCATATGATACATAAATTTTACCATTAAATTAATCACCAATGTATTTGTCACAATAAATAAGAAAACATGTATCATATATATTATTAATTCACGTATCATATTGATTATAACTATTGTAGCATATACATTATCAAAATATTGTGTCAGAAACTTTAAATCTTATCTAACTTATCTATTGATTACAACTTTTTAATAGATTTTTTTAGAATACATTGATGTTTAAGATTTATAATTTTCAATTAAATAAGTTTTAGATTATAAATGTAATTTATTGTTTAGTGTGTTGTTCTTTTAAATGTTTTTGATACAATAAATTGAATTGATGTTGTTAGGAAAAAAAGTTTGCTCAAATTTATGTGCTTTTTTTATTGATGATGATTTAATAATACTGTTTAGTTATTAGAATTTGTAAATTTAGACAAATATACATTTCGAGATTAAATGAACAAAATTTATTGATTTAATATATCTTGAAAGTAGTAAAAACAAAAAAAAAACATTGTGTATCCATTGATGCACAAAAACTACTCCAGGTTAACCAACACATCATGGTCTGGTGGTGTGAAATGACCCGTAGGCTCTGATGGATCGTCATTATCACTAACGTATCCAGCTTCGGCCTTTTCACTGCCGTATTTCCATAGCAATGCTGCGTATCTTGAACGGAGATCATCACATCGGATATTATTAGATTGGATTGGAATTTCATCGCTAAGGAATTCAACAAAGGAGGCCACAAACAAACCACAATCCCTACAAAAATGCAAAAGATACATTATACAAAAATAAATGGAACATAAACTTTAAAACAAGATGTTTTAAAATTTACAGTGTGTCACTTCCTTGTTGAATAATGTCTTGTACATATTCAACAAGAAAAGTGTGCTTTGGTTCCAATAGACTTCCAATTTCCTTGTCCTTATAAGCATCAAGAGATGACCAATCTGTTCGCTCGGAATGCTCAAAATATCCATTGTCCTGGAGGTAAGTAGGCAACATTAGATTTTTTTTTAATATCTCCCGAATAAATTTTTCTCCTTGATCCAGATGAAGAGTCGTAGACACGTATTAACCTCTTTTACAAAAAAACAACAACCAATACCCAATGAAACTGTCCATCACAATTCATCAGGATGTAAACATCATCACATGAGTGCCACGGTAAACCAGCAGGAATCTCAAAACCATTAATAATGTTCATCAATGATTGCTTGAATCTAGATACAACAGACCCACGCGCCATGTGTTCCTGTGTACTAAGGTTGTCATCGGCAGGAGTGCAATGATACGTCTCATGTGTGTTATTGATGTATGTTTTGAATAAACAATTAACTGTGGTGTATCTGTATTGATCCTGGCTTCACAATTTAGTGAAAATAAATAAAATGTATGTTGAGATGTATCATATATGCTATGTCTAGTTGGTGTAAATATAATTTTATATCAGATACATCTTTAAAGATGTATCAGATACATCTTTAAAGATGTATCAGATACATCCTTATTCTTGAATTTACTATTATACCTCATCAGTCCAACATTTCGTTGGTTGCGACATGGCATAGAACCAATTTTTATTGATTGAAAATGCAACAACGAAGTCTATCTGCTAAAATCCAAAATAAGCTGAATTACATCTGTATTTGTCCTCCTTTGGTTTCCTATATAATTATTAAAACTCAATGCAGATTCAAACAAATAATGATCTAACACTCTTTGGATATATTGATAGATAATATAGATTAGATAAATGAATACAAAATTGTCAAATGGTATTATTAATTTACGTGGTAACTAATTTTAAGATTTATCAGATTTTATGACATTATCCTGCACTTTATCAGCATCATGTCCATCCAACATTACTTGATGAAATATTTTGGAACCTCCAACTGGTACATCTTCCTAAAAAATGATGATGTATGTTAAAATGATACATTGACACACTAATGTATCATACATATACAAAATTGAACTTGCATTATCTTGCTTATGTACTTCATCATGGACTTCTGTTGTGTGTGGAAGATCTGATACATCCTTCCTACCTTCTTTTTCCTTAGATGTATTGACATCCTATGTTTTCAAGTTGAAAAATATGAGTAATTAGTTAATGTATCATTAATATTTCAATGAATAATGTATCAATAATATTTGACTGCATATTTAATCAGGATTGTTAAAAACTTACTTCTACAATCTTTGGTTCAGGGATAAGATTTTGTTCTTGATCCTCAACAACATCTACCCCAAATTGATCATTGTTGGGCACGTCCATTACAATAGGTGAACTCCGTTTATCAAACAGTTGGTTAGTGGTAGGTTGACGGACAACGTGATCTTCTTGATTGAACTCTGGCATGGTAGGACTCGTAGATGTGCCAGAAATATTTGACACGAAGAATAATGGTTACATATGAAACAAATAAATGTGTTTTAACTTGAATTATTTTAGAAATAATACACTACCTCTTCTTCTTGCTTGTGTGGATTCCAAACAACATTCATCAACTGCTGGTGATTTAATTTGGTTAAATCCTCTAAATGCTGAAATTTCTTGTCAATCTAAAAATAAATATACAATATAAGTGAATATGTAATAATAGTCAACACAAAATAAAACAATCACTTACATATTTCTTCAGGTATTTCTTAACTTGTTTAATCCCTGATCTGTCAGTCGGTTCTTTAGGATCTAGTGAAGGAACATGAACATCAGGTATATTAACACCTGAAACTGGAATTAGACTATTTTTGTTTGAATGCACAACCGATTGTTTAGGTTGATTAACATCAATAACATCTGGTTTGGCGAGATGGGCATTCTTTCTCCTCTTTGAAAGGGGTGTAGATTATGTAGTTGAAACGCGTCTTCATCTCCTTAAAAACTTATCCACAGGATTACTAGAAAAATCCTCAAATTCGGGAAGTTCTTGTGGTTGAACAGGATTGGACTTGGCAACTGAATTTTGATGTTCACTATGAGAAGCATCAACATTACCAAGCAAATCAAGTGATGCTATTTCCTCGGATGTTGGAGGTATATCATTGCAAGAATTCTGGATTGCGTATCCAAACCAACATAATAAACAAGATTATGTAACAATAACAACAAAAATGATACATTAATATGACATGAAAATTGTTCCTTATACACTGTCAAAACATAAATTATATATGGGAGAAGATGCTAGACATAAACATGCCAAATTTTGGCTTGACTCCCACAACACGCCAGTTGCATATTCTAGGTATAAAACTGTCCACTTTGACTGCAATTTCATCACCGACTGCCGAGGCACATTCATATATCCAAACATTCAGGACATATGGCATGCCGGATAATCGATACATCTTCTTTTCTTTAGTGAACTCTTGTTTTAGTGATTTTATCAATTTTGAAAATGCAATATGTCCCATGGATACTGTTGATACCTTCCGTCTTCAACCACATAGAAATGGTGGATAGGTATATTTTCATCACCAAGATGGAAAAGACAAAAGTGTGAATGAAATATAGGATTGTCATTTCAAGAGCATCTTGATTATTATCCCATTGACCCATCCGAAATCTTTGAACTAAACGACCCTTATTTACAATGTTTTGCGAATCAGGAAAATATCTTTGAATCAATCTGTTGTGAGTGAAATCAGGATATTTAAATTCATTAACATTTCATGTGCATTTCAGGACGGTAATGATGGCAAAATCTTTGATAGTCAAATGCAAAATATTCCCGCTAGCATGGCGTATATGGAGCTCATCTATATGATCCTACTCTAGCTCAAGTAGTAACAAACACTTTGTTATTTGCCCTTGGTAAATGCAATTAGGAATGTTGAGATATGGACCGAATATTGTATTCTTAAATTTCTCAACACCCTCAATCCCTATAGATAACTTCAACTCTTCTGCAAAACCCATGTTGTATGTTGAACCAAACCTCAAGGAGTGTGTAGGAATTTGTTTTATCTTGTATTTTACAGACTATAATGAGACAAATGAACAACAATTAAAGCCATAAAAAATTATAAACATGATACATGTTGAATAAATAGACAACTCAACTTACAAAGATTATTATATTTGTATCTGATACACAAAATTAACGTTTGTGTCTAATATTAGACTATACCTTACTAATGTATTATGGATTATAAGTCAGGATTGATACTTGAATAAGTATTTTACAACACAGTGTATGTCATTAATTGAGAGTTATACATAATTAAGCCTGTTACAACTATATTTACAAGTTGATATATTGAGAAGAACATCTGACAAAATTTTGTATCAGTTAAACTAAAAGTTTGAGAATAACTAAACTATATATTTTTTTATGCATGTACATGATATGTTAGTACTGATATATATTTAAGTTCAATAATGATAGATACATTGAAACTTAATGAAAATTAGAGTCTTTTGTAGAAAAACTTAAATTGCATAAAGCTATCAGTAATGTATCAT